TCCCAGAATTAGCATGGTGACCAGCACAACCCGAGTCCTCTGCCTCGGGAGCGTCGTTTATCCAATGCGGATAAAGTATGAGCGTCTTCTTTTTATCATATCTCATATGTTTAAAGTCTAAAGTAAATGATATTTTAGGGATTTGATAATCATATTATTGTTAAGATATTCATATATTTTTCTAATTGTAACTTGGCAATCTTTCATCACAAATTGCTCAACAAAGGACACATCTTTTCCCCGGTTTGCTTTCGCTGGGCAACAGAACAAACATCATTTTTAACCATCTCCCTGCCTTCACTAAAACAATCAATCCAATTAATGATTGATCTTCTGGTAAGTCTTTTGTCTTCATAAACCTTGTACATAAACCTTGTACAAATTATCATTTTCTACTGCAAAGGAATTTCCAAGATATACGTTAATCTTTACAGCCATTCGTTGCTCGAGTACGACTTAATCAACCATTTTTTGTCACAAGTCACCTACATATTGACGTCATTTTCACACTGTGACGTCACAAACACGGAGCAAAACATTATATAACATCTGCTATTTATAGAACATGTGTATGACTATATGTGTGCCAAATTTCATTCTGATCTAAATTGTGGTTGTAAATAAAGAGATAGTTCGCGAACTTTTTGATCACCCCTCGTACAGATGCTTTTACTTTTATGTCAGAAATGTCTTCACATAATAATTTTTGTGTCATTAATTTTAATTCAGATGAGTCTTAATTTTTCTAACTCATTAATTTACATTTCTCTTTTGAACGACTAGTATCAACAAGTCTAAATCACATTTTTGTATTATCGATGAAAACAATCGTTGTACATATATATAAGTCACATATTTTTATACTTTCTCTTAAACATGGCTTTTACAGAAGCGAAAAAGAAATTTAAGCATCTGGTCCCAGGATCAGACTTAGACTTAAGTCAAAAGTTGTCAATTGTCTTAATTTCTTACGATAGAAACCACAGGAAATTTGAAATGTTAAATCTTGTGTCCCTTTCATGCTATTTATCTTAATTTTCTAGAATCGGTTTGTCATAATTATTCATTTTATGACTGGCTGAAAGTCTGACTTAAGTCTTAGACTGCTTTATGATCCTGGGACCTGGTATTATCAGAACTTGCCTTATCCCTGATAAAATTTGTTATCTGAATAATAATTGTTTGTATATTTCAGGTATGAATAAAATGTATTATGATTTCAAGTATTCATTAATCACTGGTTTTCATTATTCCTCTTATAACACGGAGTTTTGTAGTATACGAGAACTTTATTAATCTTTGCTAAATCCGTAACATTTTTTGAATTAAATATGGTTCCAAAAAGGCAGATGTTACTTTCAGTGTCTTATATCTACCACTTATCGATGACATTGTATTTGTTGTATAAATATTTTATATTGGTAAAATTTAACTGTTTAATTATTTAGTTGGGAAGAAGAAGGTTCTGAAAATAATTTCATAAAGAAGTTTGGTTTCCAAATTCAACAAACCAAAGCCTTTTGTGACGAAATAAGGATGGAGATATTTCATACAATTACTTCTCTCAATGTAGTAAATGGCTATTTAGGTATTTTAAACATTAGATATCGGACAACATTCGGTCATCTCCATCTTTTGGAGAAAGCAAATGAAATAAAATGCAAAACACACACTTACACACATGATAAAAGAAAAAGTAATGGAAGGCAGTTAATAGTAAAATTGTTTGTCTGAGTTGAATAACAGTTCAAACAATGGAGGCATACCTTGGGAATTAAATGTAGCACATCACAGCACTTTTTGATGACGTGCTACACAAAAATAAACCTCCAGTGTTTACTGTGATCTCTTGTTCTTGCACATTTTACCCTCATATCTATGGGACCCTTACATTATATAGGGTACTTGTGACTGTAATCTTGCTTTGAGATTTCGCTTATTTTTGTTTTATTTCTATTGTCCAAATGGACTTTGAGCGTGAATACTGTTCGTACTGATCATTTTCTGCCGTTCCATAGAAGTTATCGTCTGATCCTTTTACTTGCAATTTAAATAAGCATTCATTAAATTGGTTTTATTTCCTCAAGGTGAGGTAAAACTGTAAAAACACCCTTTATAAATAATTGAGGAAACTTTACCAAAGACGAAGTGCTTTTCAATTGTAATTTTATGATATTTCTACATCATATACTATCTTGGCATAGTTCATCAATATTCATTAACATTTTCAAAGAAAAAACTCTTACAGTTTAAAAACTTTGAATATCTTTCATTTTGGTTACATTTTGTCTCCAACTTTTCTTTTGCAAGGAATGCGGGTCATAACTTATATTATAAGAAGTTCAGATTCACTTTTATTTTTGTGTTTCAGTAACGTTTGTTTGACATCAGTTGTTTTCAGAAGGTTTGAGTTTTAAGAGTATTATAAATACTGATATTGAATAGTGTTTGCATATCTTATTTGAGTTTTACAATCACCTAATAAATGTGTTATGAATTTCCCTCTTCCTGCACCGGCACGGTCACGTCCGTATGGTGCAATTTAAAATACTATTGGGAAATGTTAATAAATTCAGAAGAATGACTCTCTGAAGCGAATTATAATAAATGAGTAAAACATCCATAAACTTATCTGACGAAAACTCTTCAAAGGCATAACGTTTGATTGTTTAATAACTTTCGATACTCTTCAGATTATCATATGTAAATATGCTAGTCTTTAAGTTTCTGAAATACAGGACTGAAAAATTCTGCCTTGCTTTCAGTAGACAATTTTCAAAAACACTTTTTTGAGAATTGACTATAGCTATCCGGATGCCTTTTTATTGCATCTTACGTATTTACTAAATTCCTCTCTCTATAGGCGTGACAAGATCTGACAATAGATAAGATATAACCAACAATTTAATTCTATTTTTTTTTTAGCTTTTCAACATAAAAAAAGCAAAAAAATTTAATATTTGAAACAGAATCCCCATCGTTTACACCCGATATCTTTAATGACAGAATTTTATCATCTCATTCCATGACCTCTTACTCCAGGTAGCTTCCTTCATTACCCTGATCACCTTATCATCCACAGATACCATCGTGAATATCATCATTAAAATCTTATATTATTTATGTTTTAATATAACAATATTTACCTGAAATAATACCGATGTCATATGCAGCATAAATCTCTATTGAACAATAACGATGAATGATTCATACGGGGTTTTGTACACATAGATCATCAACTGTTTTCCCTCTACAAACAGCAAAGACGTTTTAACATAACAACATTTATCAGAAACAATACCCATGCCATATTACTTAATAATGCTTCATTTTGGGGTTTTGTACACATAGACCATCAACTCTTTTCCCTCTGCTAACAACCAAGCTGTTCTGAACAGGTAGAATTGCAGAAACTGATTGAATTACTTGTAGCCCACCAACATATAATTTTACACCATTTCTGCATACAGAATGTGTATCAAGTTTAATTTTTATGCATGTACATGTATATGTACATATCGTGCACAAAATTTAATACTTAGCAATACTATTTCTTCTGTTATAAGAGTTTGGTATGTCGTGGTGTTTTTAAAGGACTGAATATTACAATTGCATTTCTGAGACAATTAGAGGATAAACATATATTAAAAAAGTGTTAAATATTTACTTTTTTACTTTTCTGACACAATAAACTGGCTTTATCATCTCCGGTCATTCTAAGAAATCTTCAAGGAGACATCATACACGCATATAGAACATTTTTATATGTACTATAAGTATCATGATACATATTCATATGGATTGCAATACAAGCACATTTGTATTAGATTAAATGAAAGGCAAATGGTTTACAGACACATACACACAAAAATAATCTTTTATCCTAAATTACAAATTATAACCTTAAAATTCAAAAATAAATAAAAAGAGATATGAGTAAAAATTGGTGCACAGTTTCGTCATAGAGAGAGAGAGAGAGAGAGAGAGAGAGAGAGAGAGAGAGAGAAGTTGCAGTTCTTTTTTGACTATAATAATAGAATCCCTTTAAACATGCAAATCCAGTTGAATGCAGCAAAGCGAAACATTCAAACAATCACAACAGCATGTATAGGCTGAAAGGACAAGGAAGTACTTCAAGGAGCCTTACATGCCCCAAACACGTGATACCTTATGGGTATTACAAAACATTTCATATTCTCCATTTAAAAAAGATCAACTTGACCTGAAATATTAAAATCTCGGCATATATTGCTCGTATATTTCGTAGTATCATATAAGAATTAAACTATAATTCTATTTTTAGAGACAACTGCTATAACTGGCATTCTTGAGGGTGTAATTTTGATTAAGTAATTTATAAACTTTGTCATACAATACATTCTATTTCCATCCGGGAAGAGTTATAGTTCTTAGTGCGCTCTTTTGTGAAAAAGTTGGAAAATGTACAAATCTCGCAGGATTTCTGGGACAATTGCGACAGCATGAAAATATTGAATGTCGATGATAAAACGCATAACAAACATGCAAGTGAGAAACTGTATTGTTGTGGATATCACATGCACCAGAAATAGAAACGACGATGATATCATTTTATTTATATTACAGGATGTTCGTGATAAGTGTTGACGGTCCATCTCGAAATACAATGTACATGCCTCGAAAATGTCGAAATGTGTATCAAAAAGATGATGAATTCAGGGTTTTTTTTAAACTCTCATATACGTCTATTCTTCTCTTTTATGGGAATGACAAATACATTTAACATTCTAAATTGGATTGAGACCGGCATGTCTTATATTCTCCGTTACGTCATGTTGTCCCAGTCAGACGACCAAACACGCCTATAATTTGAAGAGTTCCAGTAATGGAAATTAAACGTAGCTGATTAAAACATTAGTGGACCGCAAGAAAACAGATCCATACATACTCAGACGAGGTGTGTTCGCTGGTGGATCCATGTGAAGGGCATCGCTGGATCAATAAGATGATTATAAACGTATTCATGAATCCTGTTTGAAAATATCAATTCGCAAGCAAGCATCTGCGGAAGTGATTGTGATTATATTTTTTAAATCTGTGGAAAGCAAAAATAACGATGTATTTAGATCACCCTGGGGATGCCACAGAAATCTCAAGAAGTCACGATCTTTCTCTGTAACTTTGAAATTATAGAACATTTGCTCTATGTCTCCAGTGATAGCAATCTCGTCCCGCCGAAACCGAAGTAGAACGCCTAAAAGGTTGTTAGTCAAATCTGGCCCTTTGATCAGTAGCTCGTTCAAGGATAGTCCTTCATGTTTGGCAGAGGAGTCGAAGACCATACGTATAGACTCAGGTTTTCTGGGGTGATATACCCCGAACAACGGTAAGTACCAGCATTCAGAATCTACTGCAATCTTAGATGCTATCTCAGCGTGTCCATGGACAATGATTTTCTGCATGAAATCTTGAGCGTGAAGGAGCTTTGTTCGATTGCGTCTGAGGCTGTTGTCTAGCATCAGAGCTCGTTTCAGAGCTTGTGGTTTGTTATTGGGTAGAGATGTTCTATCCTCTTTAAAAGGTAGGGGTGCTTTCCATCGTCCATCTTCACCTCTTTTGAAAGAAATAATGTCAATAAATTTCTGGTCTTCTACAGATGGTCCAGGCTTTTCGTCATTTTCAGTTTTCTGGAACACATTGTTGATCACAGAAAGCTTGTTCTCACAAGGTTAAAAAAATGTGGGTCGTTCACTTGGAAGGATAAAAGTCTTGTTTGTGTTGACTATTTCTGATACATGTACGTCTGTGTTGCCCAAGCACACTCTCCCGAGGATCACCCATCCCAGTAAAAGTCTCTGTGCAAATGGCAAACACGCGTTGCCTACTCTCTGTTCCTTTACGTGAGATAATTCTAGGAGGCCTCTCCCAGTTAACATTTCTATTTCTACTTTATCGCCTACTTGTGGTATAAGCTTAGATATGTCCCTTAAGTGGGCAAACTGTCGTGCCACCTTGGGGGAAGGGATTTCCTTCCTGTTGTTGGGAATGTCGTCACATTCTAGAAAAATAGGCAGTTTTAACGAGCAGGTCTGGACTAAAGACTGCACAACATAGCCAATTCCCTGTCTGCCGAAGGTAGGTTTTCTCCCAGCACAGGACACTAAGATATAATTGTTCTCTGGACCTTTTTCATGGAAGAAGTCAAAGAGTGTACACTTGCCAGGGTCTGGATTCTTTGATAAATTACAATGGCGTATAATGGCGTACACAGTCCGAACTACTCCTGGTCTATCTTCTGAGTATACACGCACTTGCAGTATCTTAGCACATGATCTGTTCGTAGTACAAGCTGTTCCACAGACCTGTGTACATGAGCTTGTCACCTTTGAAAGGTTTACTTCCCTCTCATCTTGGACAGAGTCAGGGTCAGGGGGAAGTGCTGTAGGATGTGAATGTGCATTGCAGATGCCACACTGTGTATTCGATTTGCAAGTTTGTGCAAGGTGCCGTTGGTCCGAACAACATTTGAAACAGATTTGTTTGGTACGAATGAATTTCATCCTTTCTTCTAGAGGTTTCAGGCGGAAAGCTCTGCACTCGTTTAATGAGTGGTTTTTACCATGCAGTGGACAGATTGTACAAGATAAGGTTAAGTTTATAAGCATTTCTTTTATTTTGCAATGAGAAACAAAACAAATATTTGAGGAACGTGTCGTAAGACCTTAATCAGTTTGTATCAATTTAATCGTTGAATCATAAAATAAAACAATTATTGCTGTTTTTTTTTCTGTTAGTACGAAGATTTTCCACCATCGAAAAACAAAACTCACCTCGCCTTTTGGGCTCGATAAATCTTTTACTCCTCTAGATACTGAATCATCGCATTTGCATTAAAAACAGCAATAATTGTATAATGTAATGAGATCAACATATCATCAATTAATCCCAAATTCAGCTAAGGTGAGCATTTTGACCAACAGGTTTTTTGATTTATTATTTTTATTTTGCCCACTTAAACTTTCAATTTTAATCCTTTTTTTTTTTATCCACAAGGGGTCATTATTCTACGGGGATCATTTTTTTCACGTGGGTTATGCAGATTTTTAAGGTGATGACACTTTTTCTACGAGCAAAAGGATCATTTTTTCGATGTCGAATATTGACCGGGTAGAAGAGGTGGGAGAAGTAAGCATCCCCTGTCGAGTGTTCACATCAACCAAGAGCCCTATGTATGGATCAAGTGTACAGAATAATCCGTAGTCAAATTTCATATTAGAAAAAAAAGGCCTCGCAATTGGAATGAAATTTGTCAATATAACGACACAGAATTGACGAAGTGGTGACTTTAAATGATATTTCTGAAATATCTGTAACCTCAATATTTTTGTCAGTAACAAGCCTCGGTTCAAAAAATGGTCGTACGCAGAGCATACCTTGAGGAACAAAAAAGTTCGGAGACTTAAGTCTATATGCAGGTGATAGCAAAATATTACTACATAGATAAGAAATGTTAATAATGGTAAAGCTGAGTTATCTCGTTTGTTATACAATTTTTAAATAGTTAATTGGACTTTATCCTCTGAAGTCAGTAAAACCTCTAAATTTGAATCTTATACGGTATCAATTTTGATGCACCATATGCGCATTTTCACAAATTATGTCTCTTCAGTGATGTTCATGCCAAAACGACGGAAATCCGAAATATTAAAAAAAAAAACCTTTGAAGAGCTGAAAAAGGGGTGCCAAAGACTGGAACTAAATACGTTGAATGATCAGAGAGCTATGCATGAGGTAGATAATCCATAATTTTGAAACAAATTTCTAAATTTTACGAATATGAAAAAGGTGGAGTAGACTCTGTAATTTTTTTGGGGGCGAATTTACATGTAACTGAGATATATCGAGTCGACATATGAATGGAAGAAACATGTTCATTGACAAAAGAGGTTGTTGATATATCTGAATATTGAATTGAAGTCCACAGTAAGTGCGTTTTTCTTCTCATGTACAAGTGCAAAAAATAAAGGAGCATAATTAGTGTCCACTAGGATTCTAATAGATTGTTTAAAGATCTTGTCTCCAAAGACAGATGATGATCAGCATTCTTTTCATATCAACTTAAGAGTACTTTTAAAAATGTAGAGGCAGAGTGATTATTTACAAAGGGATTTGTGTATAACCAATGACAAAGATTTCTGACTCCCATTTTTATTGAAGAAGCAATTGTTTATGATTTCAAAATGTCTAGTTTTTAAGTTATGGTTGTGTAAAGTATAGAAAAGTCATACGTTTTCATGTCACTTTTGAAGTTCCTTTGGTGTTTTTTTTAGAATCAACATTTGATTTACAATTTTTGAATATGCTCTAGCACAGTATATTTAAAATTTCTTCTTTATATCAGTTAATACTTTATATGTACTTCTGTCTTCCTATAGAATTGCACAGTAGAATTATCGATGAATTTTATTTAACTCATCGCATAATTTTTTAGCAGAAGGGGCAAGTAATGAATAATTTCACCGGGAATGTTTAATGCCGTTTTCACAAACTTTTTAAAATTTTATTGCTGTCTATGTTTCCTAAAAAAGCCTATCTCTATACAGCAGGGAGGCGACATCATTTATCTTTTAATCCAAATGAAGTAAATGATAACCCCTTTCAGCGCCACATGACGTCATGTCGTTCAAAAGTCTTTTAAAGAGCGATTTTAAATAATATATAAATTTGTAAATAATATGTCTTCAATTTGGATTCAAAATTCGCACGTAACTGCTACAATTTGAAATCCATGGCAAAATGCTTTACCTAGAGTAAAAAAAAACCCAACTAATTTACAATTGTAAAAAAAAGATGTTATTGTTTAATATAGTTACCATTTTAACCATTGTAACCAATAGTTTACCACAGTATCATTTCTTGGGGAGATGCCATTAGCTTATACATGTGCCTAAAGCATTGACGTCAGACACATGTTAGTGGGATTGATCTTTTTACCCGTATAATGGGTATTTTCTGCGGTTGTCCAATTTTTGCGGAAGTTTGCAGATAGTTCAAATCCGCAAAAAATACAGTCGCAAAATATTTCTTTAATATTAATTTTGATATTTTATACATACATGTCTGATAAGTGCTGCATATGTTAGTCAACCTGGTTTATTTCATAACTTCTTATACTATATTCTAAAAAAGAACACTTACACATGAATGAAATACACAGGATTAAAAAATAGGTTACGAAGACTAACTAAAAGGTATTATAGCTTATCACCAGTTCCAAAGCAACTTTGATGAACATGTCTTTGAATTGATTTTTAAAACGTACAAGAAAACATTACAGTGTTGTTCAAAATCCTTAGAATTTGGTGTTCAAAACCTGTAAATAATTCAACCGCAAAAATTGAAAACACAAAATTAATTTGCTACCTTTTACTGGTCAAATCTCAGAAATTTCTAGCTGCAGAAAATACCCGTTATACTGTATATAAATTTTAGTCTGTGCTGCTTAAAGACTTCTACAATGCTGTTACAAAAAAGGCTGTAAAATTTATGTGACAGAAAAATTCTACTTATCTTACCTAGGCAACACAAGATGAAACTCTTCCTTTCAGTTTACTGATAGGTGACTGAATATCTACTGAAAGGTGATTGTATGGCAGAGCTCTGCCATACAGTGACAATTCCAGACCTTTCAATGACCATTCATTTGACAGAATGGTACAGGTTCATCCTGCACAAAACAAGATATTTGGCAGGGGAAAAAGGCTACGTAAATATATCTTTAACGGAAATTAGGTATTTACTATACATTAACTGAAACTGTAACCCTGACTCGAAGCCAAGACAGCAATAATGATTTCGGCCAAACTGTTAATGTGATCCTCAATGTCCCACACATAGTAATTTTTTCACCGAAGACTTAAGAAGTGGTTCAAATTGGACGAAATATTTCTTTGGAAGGGTTTGATCCTAGACAATTTTCATATCGAAATTATTTGTATGGAATTTAAAAAAACTCACAGGATTCAAAGATGTTAGGGACGATGAAAAGGGACTGTTAAGTAGCCTAAGATGAACAGAAACATTGAGATTTTATAAGCAGATAAGATATTAACAAAAGATGCAAATCACAACGACAGAAAAAATCCAATGAATTCACACTCCATCGCCAACAGGCCTTGGAAGAAAATTGCATGAAGTCTATTTGAATCTGATGGGCTTGACTGCGTTATTTATACTACAGATTATCACTTCAGTTTCTTTGAAATTGACAATTTGTAAAATGACGACACATTGAAAAAATGAAATCATAGTTAGCTTGCCATGGAGTACTTGTGCCTGAAACTGTAATTACAGACAAAATTCCATCATTCATATCGAAGATTTTTAGAACTGTGATTGCAAGATATGCTTACCACGATACCTAAAAGACTGTAAAGATACTTCATGAATTGATGTGCCAGTGTATTAATAGACCCATTCTGAGTATACTTGATTGGTGAAACACACTCTGCAGGTCATGATATTATTTCAGTCACCGAATCACACTTTGGACAATCCAGGTGGTCAAACCACATCCACAAGTTATCAAACCAGGAATCTGTCCCAGTTAAGTCGAAGGACACAACATCATGGCAAGCACAAATACCAGTAGTCAGACATTACCTGGACTCCTAATAAATACGGTGACATAGGTCATAATCATACCCAATCTACCTTTGATTCATAGAAATTCACTTTTCAAACTACTATGTTTATTCATTTTGCTTGAATTTTGTTGTGGGATATACATGATATGTTTTTTTTTCCTCAAAGAGAGACTTGATCATTTACGAAAACCAAGCTGAGAGAATTATGAACTCGAAGACTATGCAAATATTTGTAAAATAAATAGTGAATTATATGTTGCTTTCTAAAAAAGGTATTTGAAGATATTGCATACACATATCGTGATCTATTCATCATTGTGATTGGGCTTGGTCTTCCTTATATTGTGTTGCTAGCGAATAAACAATACATCTAAATACTGTCAATATCAAAACCACCATTGATATAGCTTTGGAGAGTGTGTAAGGAATTTTCTTACAGAAAAATATGCAGAAATATACAACGATTTGCAAAATACTCATGGAATCTAACAAATTATTGTTATTCACTTCGCATTTTTGTTTTTTATACCTCTCTTTTGTTCCTGAAGGTAAGTAATTTGACAAGGAATGAAAAGAATGTGATTTTATAAGTATAGGGTATTGATTGTGTCTTTTTCTATTACATTACGACATCTTGCATAATTTGTGCACACTAAAATCACTTGAAAAATATTTCAAGTAAAATTAGTTACATGAACATTTCCATACAGTTTTGCAAAGTACATGTATTTCTTAAGAAATTAAAGTAAATGAGAGTTTTTAAAAAATGGCAAAAGAACTGACGCAGCCCTCGTCCCTCGTTACTTGTTAATATGTTAAAATTTTACCATTCACTAAGATATTTGAACATTAAAATTATATATTTATTCCGCTTAAACTTGACTGGTCCCAAAAGGTGCGGTTTTACGTTTTGATAACAATTTTGATATCACGTCTTGAAATTTAAAACTAAGATAAAAAAAATTCAATGGGTATAAGAAAATGTAAATGTGGGACTTATATTTTAAATATCGTTTTCTTCTGAGACGGTGTAACAGTTTACGGTTTAATACATGTAAGACGGTTCTTGATGAAAGAAATAGGTAATTCATTTTACCTGTTGACAGAGGCTATTTTTGCGTCCCAGTAAATGAAAAGGGATGTTAAATAGATCACATTACTACCTGATTACCTATTTCAGTGCAGAAAAAAAAAACACCTTATTTAATACATACATTGTAAATGGAATTAAATTCAATTTAGACACTTACTGAATTTCAGTAATTTCTTTTGAAACTTTGAAGTAAATATCAGCTACAATTTTCCATGCATCGTATTTTATTGTAGAATTAAAGTTTACTCTTTCAGGAACAGAAAGATATCATCTTTTAAAACTTGATATTAATATTACAGTGGGAAAATATTTCGATGCTCTGGTTAAAACAAAGCTTACTACATTACCACCACCCTGTACAACATTGATGAGGCTATATTTTTAGAATACTGTATACAGAGTTATTTTTGGCCAGTGTTTTTTTCCCCGCACTTTTACACTTGCAAACATTTTCCCCTTCTTTAACTCGCCCAGACACAGATGTATTTTAGATATAATGCTTTTTATTTTGAATTTGCTCCATTTTAATTTCGTCCACTTGCAACGAGGGTATAAGAGGCGAACTTAAAAATAAAGCAGGGGATAAAATTTCTTTTGTACAGTACTGAAAATATTCTTAAAAAAAAAAGTCAACGCTCAGCTATTAAATTCGGATAGGGCCACGTACTTCACTATTGCACCATCGAGCATCAACTAAAGACCATCACATCATCGTCATCGCGATATTGCACCGTCGATTTATCGTCATTGCACCATCACTTCATCGTCATCGCATTATCGCACTATCGACCCAAACCTAGATGGTGCAATAATGCGATAATGAACTACATGGCCCTATCCGGATTCCGCCTACTGTGCTCCTGTTCTGTATTGCTAATACAGAAAAAAAGGACCACCGTTTTAGTGTAAGAAGATATGTATACGCTGCTGATTTTCTACACTTGTTCATATTAACTTAGTGGATTTATCAAAGCCTTTTCAGTGCTGTTTATTTATCTGCATCGCCTTTTGTTATCATTTCAATGTTACCTGTAACTGTCCAATAAGTTGAAACTTATGTGTGAAACTTATATATATATATATATATATATATATATATATATATATATATATATATATATATATATATATATATATATATATATATATATATATATATATATATATATATATATATATATATATTCCAAGATCCTACCATTAATAACGACTCATAATCTTCAAAATAAAAACGTTGCACCAGTTGTTTATCACCTAAACGACGTTTTGAAGACCGATGAAACTATGTCTAAAATATTTAAAAATCGAAAGTTCATAAACAGTAGGAGACAGTCGAAGAATCTTAGACGAATTCTCACTAAGTCCTCTTTTAAAGAAACGACAGAATTTCATGTGACCAAATGCCAGGATCCGCGTTGTGGTACCTGTCCATACATACAACAGGGACAACATTTTAATTTTAGTGGAAAACAGTTCACAGTTAATAATAACATGTCATGCCAAACTAGAAACGTCATATACGTTATAGGATGGTCTGGTTGCGGTGAATTATATATCGGAGAGACGGGAAGTACCTTGCGGGAAAGGATCCTAGTCCATAATCAACAAATTAATGTGCCGGAATACCGTAAACTTAAAGTCAGTGAACACCTAGACTTATGCGGAAATAAAACTTTCACTGTCTTTCCATTTTATAAATTGTATAACTCGAATACAATTGAAAGACGAGATAAAGAAAAACATTTTATAAGGACTTTCAAACCTAAATGTAGAGTATTTTACTGAGTCACATTTATTTCTTTGTTATTGTATTATTTTGCCAAAAGTACGGGAAAAATATGACGTCAATCAGAGACTTGTTAACGTTTAAGTTATTATGACGTCACAATAAACATTATCATTAATATATTATAAAACATCATGAAGAAGAAATGAAAACGCTTATGTTCTACTCGTTCTCTGTGTTTTTATATGTTTGTATATTTTTCATATTTATCACCGACCACTGTGATTTTTCTTGGATTTATCTATCTATCTATCTATCTATCTATCTATCTATCTATCTATTTATATTATGGATTGTAATTTGCAACCGGTTCACCGATTACTCTTTCGGAACGATGGTAATCAGTTAGAAAATTTGCAATCGGTTAGTCGAAAAAAATAAGGTATATGTAATTTTCTTACAATTCACTTTTAAAAATGTAACTTTTGCATAAACATCGATAATTTAGCGTTTTCATTTATCTATTTTTAAAGCTGATTTGGACGTAATTGTGATTTTCCTGATTGAGATCGCGGGATAATTGGTCAGTTTGTGAAGTGTAATTACTGTATAAACAAATAGACTTCACCCCGACTCTCCTATCAGTCTTCAAGGATATTAAATTATGTGACATCTTTTGCAGTTACTTATCAAAATATATTATGAGACAAAAAATTGATTATGGCAAAAATGCAGAAACTAAACGGAATGCTTCTTACATCTAACTATAAATAGAGCTATTTGAATAAAAATTTAAGAAAATTCATATTTTGATACGATTAACCGGTTATTCGGTCGGATCGTCTTGCGGTTAACCGATTAGCAATTCTGTATTCGATTGCCATCCCTAATAAATAAATAAATAAATAAATAATATATATATATATATATATATATATATATATATATATATATATATATATATATATATATATATATATATATAATGGCCTTGTATCAAAGACAACACAGTCGCCCGCGTGGCGCAGTGGTTAGAGCGTTCGCTCTAGAGTTGCGGAGTAAAGAGTTGATCATGACGTCGCGGGTTCGAATCCCACTGTGGGAGGTGGAGACCGGGCCCCAGGATCATGAAGCAGTCTAAGTCTTAAGTTGGAAATTCAGTCATTCATAAAATGAATAATTATGTTAATAGCATGAAAGGGACACCAGATTTAATAATATGTGGTTTCTATCTTAAATTTTTTTTTAGACAATTGACGTATTTTGACTTAAGTCTAAGACTGCTGCATGATTCTGGAACCAGTCCTTTGGATGAGACCGTATAAACCGAGGTCCCGTGTCGCTGTAGGTGCTGGCTCGAAAAAGATCCCTCACTGCTCAATTGCCCTGAGTGCCGAGTATAGGTCAAAATTTGTAGCTCTCCACCGGCAAGTGGTGGCGTCTCCATATGAGTGAAAAATTCTCGAGAGGGACGTTAAGCAACAAACAAACAAACAAAGACAACACTGAATATACAGTTGAACTTCGGTATCTCGAACACGGATATCTAGAATATCATGGATTTGTCGAAGTGACTGAGAAGTCCTAACCACGTATTTCTTAAGTATCCAACACTCGAATATCCCGAAGTTTTATCTCGGTCCCATCAAGTTCGAGATAGCCAGGTTTGTCTCTATTAGAATATATCTTACTGATCAGTCATGTGGTATAAGTGATCGTCTCACTTATTGATAAAATTCCATCTGACTTATAGAACATCCTAGATTACGTCCTTTCTTTGTATTGAATTAATGCATAGTTTCATGTTATAGGTGGTAATGCTGGAACAGTTACAACAGCAGGCTCTCTCACGGCCACTATTGGAGGTGCTGTTGACTTCACTTGTACATATACACTGGATTCTGATGAATCAGTATATCCAGGATCAATTTCTTGGCAAGTCAAAACAGGATCAGGTTATTTTACTAATATAGCCAGTTTTTCTCCTCCTGGATCAGTCGCCCGCGTGGCGCAGTGGTTAGAGCGTCTGCTCTAGAGTCGCGAAGTAAGGAGTTGATCCTTACGTCGCGGGTTCGAATCCCACTCTGGGACGTGGAGACCGGTCCTTCGGATGAGACCGTATAAACTGAGGTCCCGTGTGCAGTAGGTGCTGGCACGAAAAAGATCCCTCACTGCTCAATGGCCGTAAGTGCCGAGTATAGGACAAAATTTGCAGCTCTCCACCGGCAAGTGGTGGCGTCTCCATATGAGTGAAAAATTCTCGAGAGGGACGTTAAACAACATACAATCAATCAATCAATCCTCCTGGATCAGGTGGTTCCAATGCCTTTACAGCCTTTGCCACTGATTATAAAAATCGAACCAAATTGTTTAATATAACAGCTGATGGAGCTAATTCTTTTGTTGTTGTGATGAGAATAAACGAAGTGTTGTGTTCAGACGAGCAGCACTACAGATGTTCCGTTTTATTTGTTAATTCTGGATCAGGTCCCGTAACTAAGACAAAAGAAACAACTCTCACAGCTAGAAGTAAGTATTTTTATAGCCAGAGGACTGATTGAATGCAATATGATAAATGTTATATGCATTAAATTAAAATTGTATTAAGCACGAGAAAATCTCTTGATATATAAATGATATTATAATAATAGGTTTTTAACAAAATATTTGTTAATGTTTGATAATATATAATTGCAGCACCTGCTGAACAGCCTTATGAAATCCCAGTTCCTGTACCAGACAATATAGAAGAGAACATGGAAGTGACTTTTTCCTGTACAGCCAACGTTGGGAAACCTCCAGGACAAATTAGATGGTGGCGCTATAGGAAAGGGATAACCGCTCATCAGGAAAGCCAGGGGTTTTTACCAACACCCCACAGATTCAGGAAGGTGAATGCGTCTACAACGTGACCAGCACAGTAACGTACACCATGACAAAAGACGATGACCAGTCCGTGTGGAGATGTTTCGTGGACAATGAACTGTTGACAATGCCAGATCGTGACAAACCTAACCAAGAGTCTAAAAGGGTTAACGTATTTTGTAAGTATAGACAGATGTATATTTCTATCAAAAAATGAAATACTGGCAATATCACATATAACTAGCATATACCGGGCATTAGAAGATGTGTATATACAATGCGCTACAAGTGTAACGTGCATACATGTATCACAATAAAATGGTACTCAGAAAACTAAATATACTCAAAATATGCCCATTGAAACATATTTAATGAGTCTTTGCAGCAATTACTATCCATTCCTTCAGTGTGTGTATATACGTATATTTACAGTTAAAGTCAATGTTCCGAGAATAAGGAAGGTACCGGACACTGGTGCTAACTCTGAATATTTTGTTGGTTCTTCTGTGACCTTGATCTGTGAAGCTGAAGGTAATCCAGCTCCAGGGATTCACACAAATACGGCCGTTAACAGGTATCTGTGGACATTCAAGGCTAGTCCAAATAACAATGCTAGCGGACTATCATCCAATAATGGCACACTTACTCTGACTAATCTTCTGGAAACCGATACAGGGACATACACTTGTACTGCATTTAATGGATTTAATGGGAAATTTTTCAACGCATCCAAAGACTTCAGTTTACAGATTAGTACATGTAAATATTTTTTTTCAATTTCATTTTCCCTTGAAATACAGGTTATTTGATGGAAAGGTTTATGTTCTTATTCAATAATGATTTTTTTATCATGCCACATAAATGAAAAATAGGAATATGCATAGAATTTGTTTTATTTGTAAATTTTCTTCTTTTTTGGGGGATGGGGGGGGGGGGTAAGATTGTTTTTTCTTCTTCTCCATTTTCTATTTTGTATTATCCTGCAATTTAACTGCATACATGTGTTGAAGAACGAATACAAATAATTATGCTTTACAAACCAAATATACATTGTGGTACCCAAAGTGTAACTTTATTATAAATCACTATTTATTTATGCAAATTTATAATGAATTGTTCCACAAGTGGTTTATTACAATATTTCAGTGCTACAATATCTACAATATAAATGAAAGTTCTTAAAAATTGAAGAAGCTTATTACAAACTCAGAGTTTTTGAATAAAAGCGATAAAATAAAACAAAAGATATATGCATATAAAGGGGAGATATTTTATTCAAATATCTTTGATAAAAACAAGAATTTCAAAATATCACCCCCCCCCCCCATTTTAAGCCGCGTGTTGGTGTTACGTGCTTGCCAATCAAGACTACGTTTCGCTTTCCTTTTGGTAGAGACGACCATAATTACCACCTCAGCATCTACTACACATAATGTCTATACTACTGGATCTTCTGGAAGACCCACCACACCACCACATGGAGGAAACGGTAATGTTTTATCATGCATGCATTTTATTTTTCACGGGGTTTATTTCATGTATCATGATCATCACAGAGAAAGTATAGTTTTTGTTTTTTATGTTGTATTGGCCAGTTGAATACGGAATTAAACCAGCTAAGTTCAGTTCAAGAAAAAAAATGTTTAAAATTTATTAAGTTTGCACTCACAAATAATTGGGTATAAATGGAATTGATTTGCATTCAATTGCAATGCTTTTCTTGTCTAAGATTCCAGAAAGTAAATCAATTTTTTTTCCGCAATCAAAAACACAAACTTTAAGAACATTGCGTTCAAAAACAAACTTGGGTATAAATGGAATTGGTTCGCATTCAATTGCAATGTTTTTTTTTTTGCAATCAAAAACACAAAGAACATTGCGTTTAAAAACAAAATACTTTTTACATATATACATAATTCTTATTACGATTAAACTGTTATACATCTAATAATTATATATCTAATAATCCTTTGGAATAGACAGGCTAAATTTTGCGATTAAATGCATTTCTTTTTAAATCACTGACTTTTATTGATGTTTTCCTGCTGAATGAATTTTGATCCTCATGCTTGATATGAGTTGTCTGCAATTGCTCTGGACGAATACTCATTGAAAGTTTTTCATCATTTTAGAGAGGAATTGGCAATTCTAATGTTCTTTGTCCTTTTTCCGACAATTCGCTTATAATAATTTTCACTCATTCGCTTCCATTATTGTCAAAAGCTTTTTCCATTCCGTTGCAATTTTTATTATGACATTTTTTGATATCTTAAGAATTTTGGCATAAACATTTATTGAGCTGGGTTTCCTTCAGATTTAATCTAAAAAATAGAATTATATTTCAATTCTTAATTATCAATGGACCTGAATTATCCTGCTTTATAAGCTGAACTAAAGGGTTTTGAAATTGAGTCTACAAATGTATTGTATCAAGATTTATTTCGACCGAATTACCAAACGGGGAACTCCAAACGGATTGTTGTTTTAGTATTTGCTAAGAATGAACTTTCGTTTCCAGAATCCCAATTACAAATTATTGAGTGTGATGAAAAGCTGTGTGAACTTCACGTAACAGAGTATTTGAATGGCTTTACCTTTCACTGTCATTGATAGCCTGTGTCATTAAATGTCACTTGACTAGGTTACAAATTAAAAAGCCAAAAGATGACAAAAAGTCAACAAATACGAACGCCTGTTTGTGCAGCTTAGAAAAAATAATAATATGATATGTGATTTTGTTAATTTTAACTATGAGAAGAATATTTCATGGGTAGAAAGACTTTTCTTTGTTAATTCAGTGACAATTTTGTGAAAACGTTCAGTTATAAAATGCTGATTTTCAGAATCTTATGGACAAACAATCTTAAGTTCTTAACTGAAATAAGTCTTTTTGTCGTTAAAGAAATTTTGTTTTCTTTAAGTAAGATTATTTTGTTTTTTTTACCACCCTTAATGTCCACAATCATTACACTGCTCTGTGTAACTTATCTTCATTAAGTTATCATGGACTCCAACTTTAATGGAGGAGATGAATAAAGCTTTCAAATTGCATTTACGATAAATGAATATTCGACAGCATCTTGTCAAACATAAATAATAAAGAAAAAAGCAGGCATTATAAATTTTACATAAAAATGTAACTGTCACCAAGTTAACTGAAATGAAAACCTTGGAATCTGTTTTCCAGTTTCTTAAATAAGTAAAGTTCTGTACAAGCAAAAACGGTACATTTTGATGCAACAATCTTATCAGATGCTTCCTAGTTTAGATTATATGTAAACTGATATTGATTCATTTGTATTTTTCTTTATAGGCTTTCAAGTGTCACAATCAAAATTAGAAATGATCGTTGGTGGGATGATCGGGGGAGTTGTGTTAGCTGCACTTGTTGCCCATTTTATCTTTAACAGAAAATATCAAATTTTATGTGTTGGTGAGTATTTTGTTTTGATTATTAATAATCATTATTATTTTACTTCTTAACAGTCAATTCGCATTGGTTGACATACTGCTCTGGTTCATTTCACTTTCAGAAAGAAAACCAAATCAAAGGTAAGAACGGTAACATTACATGTGATACTGAGTCAAAACTTTTCTAACTTCCATAAAGTTTAATTAAGAACCATAGAGAAATAAATGAAAAATTGTAACTTACTGCTAATTACAGTGGTAAAAGAATGTTAGATGGTTATATCGGGAAATCCAAATTTATTAACTATGTCAGACTCTACACACTTTATGGCTATCAATATTCTTTATTCTGCAAAATCAAACTTAAGCTTTACTAAAAGTTACAAGATTTATTTTTAAAAAATCAGACGTATTCTTTTTGTTTTATTGAATTGAAAATTTTATTGTAACTATCTAAAAATTACAGTCGCCCGCGTGGCGAAGTGGTTAGAGCGTCTGCTCTAGAGTCGCGGAGTAAGGAGTTGATCCTTACGTCGCGGGTTCGAATCGCACTGTGGGACGTGGAGACCGGTCCTTCGGATGAGACCGTATAAACCGAGGTCCCGTGTCGCAGTAGGTGATGGCACGAAAAAGATCCCTCACTGCTCAATAGCCGTAAGTGCCGAGTATAGGACAAAATTTGCAGCTCTCCACCGGCAAGTGGTGGCGTCTCCATATGAGTGAAAAGTTCTCGAGAGGGACGTTAAACAACATACAAACAAACAAAACAAAAATTACATATATTCTGATATTTGCTAGAAATTAGTTCATAAGCTACCGTGAAATCACTAAATTTTTTCTTATTATGTGTTAAATTTCAGTTGTTTTCGTTAAATGAGTATGAGTATATGTTATATGAAGAGGCTATTGAATTCATACTCCACGAAATGTTAAAATTTCAAACTACACGTACAACATGTTTGTCTACTATACACGATATCAAAATCCTATGAATCAATATAATATATTCCTCAAATCACAGAAAAAAAATGACACCACGAAAATAGTGATTTTACAGTATACATTTTTTAGACACTTGGCAATCGGACTTTTTCTACAAATTGTTATGGAATTTTCAGTAAAACAAGTTTTCCATCATTTTTAACCGAAGTTTCTTCAAATTTTAATAAGATTGATACATAATACTTGTACATATTTATTACACAGTAGCAAGAAAACTGAAGCGATAAACAATATCTCAGAAACACCGAGTAAGTAATAAATCTATTCAATTGCTTTTCATTTTCATTTTGAAATTAGTAAATTTCATTTTCTTAAACTTTTCCCCTTAATTGTAGGTCTTGAAATGGAAAAGAGGTAGCGTATGCTTTATCGTCAGTAAAAAATATTAACATATTAAAAGACGTCTCAAAAGCATTGAAAACAGAAGGTTGACAACAATATACATTGTAATAATCTGGAATGTAGCTAAAATATTGCATAAAGAAAAAAGTACGGATATTGTTTTAAGATGCATATGATAGGAATGGTGGAAGTCTGAGTCGTATTCTTTTTACATGTATCCCCTGCTTTCACTGAAAGTAAGAAATATTAATTTTGGACTGTTTGTCTGCCGTCCATCCGTCTATCTGCCTGTCACTCTGTCTATATATAACACTCTCATTTCCGAACGATATCTCAAAAAGAATTAGAGCTTTTACAATAAAATTTTAAAACTTAACTTCCTCCAGCCTAAAAGAGATCCTTTTCGATTTTATGTCAACAAGTCAAAGGTCAAGGTCATAAATTTTTACATTCTGTCTGTGTGTAACACTTTCATTTCCGAGCGATATCTTAAAAGGTCTTTGAACTTTTTGCAATAAAATTTTGTATCACAACTGTTTATGGTCTATTGAAGACTCCTCTTGATTCTGAGGTCGAAAGGTCAAAGTCCAAGGACAAAACTTATTTACAACATTCATAGTTTTCAGAGTATAACTCTGTAAGCTTTTGCAATGAAACTTAATCACAAATTTCTTTAATCTAAAAGAAAACCCTAATTGGCTTTAAGGCCAAAAGCTGAAAGGTCAAGATATCTCCATATTTTTTTTTCACTTCTTCCAACCACTTCCTTTTTTCTTAAGCAGGGGACACAAATTCTTAGAAATAGGTTATTGAAACTCAGGAAAATTCAAGCTTCTGTTATTTGAAAACATTTTGATTGTAAACGTTAAGAGCAGTTTTAGAAGGTAATACAATAGAATATATAGGGTTTCCCAAGGTTGGTGGCTGGATAGGATTTTTTATTAAACGAGTTTTGTGTTTTAAAAAAGTGCAACGAGCTGGATAAAAAATCATATGTAACCACAAACCATGAGAAATTCCTTTTATCATATGTTTTACACATTGCCATCACATTTTTATATCAATTGTATAAAGGAAATCACCTTGATAATAATTTACTCGTGTGTGTTACAATTATTTTTGGTGTTTTGCAGCTAGCTATAGTGAGGAGTAATTTTTTTTATTTTATGAAATATTTAAATAATGAATTGTTTCAAACCTCAAATTCATTCATTTAGCGCTCAGTATGAAGAGCTGAAACAGATTACTCGGGATCAGGAAAACGGCTATGACGTTATTAGACCACCAAACAGTAAGGACATTTTGTATAATTTGATTTTAATGATAACAATTTTAAAAAAAATCTATATTCCATTTTCTTTCGATTTTTTGTAATCAGTATATAAAATATAATTACAAATGTCTTCTTTGTTCAGGAAATGGATCACACGGGTAAGTAGTGTTTTTTTTAAACGCTTGGTGATGATTTGGAAAAAAAGATGAACGGAAATAAAACTTCATCCATAAGAAATTGAAATAAAAAGCCTGGCAAGTTTGAATTTTGACATACGTTAATTTCATTTGGACGATTTAGTGGAACATACGAAGAACTGCAACACCGGAAAGAGGAACACAGATATGAAGAACTTTCTGACCCCAAAAGTATGTTCAACTTCTTAATGTGCAAACAAACTAATGAATTAGATGATTCACGTTTTCGAAGCCATCATCCACACAAAAACGCAAATGATGGGTCTGCATGGATAAGGTCTTAATCACAGTTTACCGGATTGCACTAACAAGCGTCAATCATGAGAAATTTCCGTTAGCACACTTTTGTCCGTTTCTCATTCGGAGAATACTTATAATTACAATGCCGAGCGAAGATATTTTTGAGCATGTTCAAAGTTTGGAACGGATCCGCTTGAATACGGTATTGGCCGTTATAAAGTCGATATGAATGTTTTTCTTTCGTTTCTTTTCCTGTACGTTAGTTGATGTCTGATGACCAGAGGCACTACTGGAAAATTTATAGGTAACGAATAAAAACGGAAACGCTCTTGACACCGACTGGACGACCGAGTCTACATAATGTAACCTTCGAAAATTGTTCTATCAATTTCTCGTGCATTACGCATTCTTTTACACGGTAAAGTGTACTCATTCGTTACTGAAACTGTGAAATCCATACGTCGACTGTTGCTTATACGATACATGTATGTTCATCATACAGTTTTAGCTCACCTTAGCCGACGGCTCAAGTAAGATTCTCTGATCAAAATTTGTTCGTTGTCTATCGTTGTTTGTCGTCATCGTCGTAAACTTTTCATCTTCTTCTCCTGAACCATTTCGCCAATTTCAACTAAACTTGGCTCAAAGTATCCTTGGTTATAGAGTAAATTTCTCCAAAAAAGGGCCACTACCTCTTCCAAGGGGAGATAATAAAGAAATAGTGAAAAATAAATGGGATCATTTAAATTATCTTCTCAAAAACCACTGACTTAAAATATTAAACTAAAGTGAAATCTTTCTGAGGAATTGTACATTCATATTTGCATGTTCAAATCATAATCTTGGGGTTAGGCTGGAGCTACTATCCCTAACAAAAATTTACTATAGGTCACTATAGTTTACTATAGTTAATATAACTAAAATGAAAAATTTGATACTTTGATTTACTGTGAAACTTTACTCAGGAACTTTTTTGAGATTTCAAAGCTTAAAATCTCTAAAATTCGATAACAGTAATGTAAAATTTGGAAATAATGTGTGAATATACAAATTGTATTTCAATTAAATATAAAAAAAAAATATGCATGTATGAATTGAAGAACAAAAAATATAACGATCTGAAATCCATAGTAAAAATACTTTGATTTACTATAGTGAAAAAACTTTGATACTATAGTAAACTATTGTTAACTATAGTAAACTATATTTAACTATAGTTAATTAAGTACTTTTTTGTTAGGGATTGGCGACCAAAGTTAAACAAAGGAATGGATAAGAAATATCTTTAAGATTGCTTCTCAAGAACAGCAAAGTCATGATTACATTTATATGGGGGCCTTGATATGAGATCGAAGGTTTAATTAAGGAATGAAATTAATAGCTACCCATTTTATACGGTATAATCTGGGTTGACACAATTTACGCTAAATAAACTGCGTCTTATCGATTTACAATTATAGTTACTTCCGAGTCGATATATCCCAGTGAGCTTGAAAAGAAAGATACACCACAGAGTCTAACACATCTGTTTCATATTTGGATATTTTACCAGAAAAAGACCCTTTTGGTAACTTAACAACCAAGCTTTGACTTTAACATTTTAATTGTCAACTTCCGTTACTTACGCAGCAATACACCTGCATATCGGGTTTATGTCTCTCGGCAAGAGCATGCTCTACGTACGAACAATTTCTAAAACGACGCAAACTATTGACAAAAGTTGATGAAACAAGAAGACAACAGTCTCGTTTATAGCCATCATTTCGAAAGTTGTATCATCGATACAATGACCTTGTTAGCAAATAAAATTTATCATAAAGTCAAGTGCTAACTGACTTTTTCATACTAACTGTAAGGCCATTATTTACACACTGAACAGTCTACGGATTTTTCCGTTTTTCTCCATCATGATAAGGAGCGCACGGCGGGTGTGACCGGTTAGCAGGGGATGTTCACTCCTCCATGGCTCATGATCTCATCTCTGATGATGTTTTATAGGTCCGTGTTTGCTCTAGTTCTGATTTGTTTTGTTTGAATGAACATTTTGGCTTGAAACCTGTTCGTTATTTACATATTTAATTTAACCTCTGTAATACATAATAAACATACAGAATATCCTAAAAGAATGACAGTTATTTTTTTGCCTCTTTCCACAGATATATTAAACAACGGAAGACAACAAAATAAGGTTGATCACGGACAACAAACTTTTGGACCACCTACAACACAAAGTTACGGACAATCCCAGCAATACGGACAAGGATACCGTTCACACGTTGGATACAGCAGATAAAAGCTAAAGGAAGTAAATTTTTAGCATAAAACAAAACTACTTTTCTGTTGAAAGCAGGAATGATTCCGACTTTCCATAAATAACCAACATCGTCACAAATATGACAATTACTAAAGTAGTTTGACTTCCTACTTGAGAATTAGCAAAAAATTGCAAGTTAAACACTACAGATGTTTTAACTTTTATGCCATAAATGTCTTCACATAATGAATTTGTGTCATTAATTTTATTTCAGATGAGTCTTTATTTTTCTTACTTATTAATTTACACTTCTCTTATGAAGGACTAGTATCAAGAAGTGGAAATCATATTTTTGTATTATCGATGAAACGATCGTTGTACATACATTTGTATATATAAGTCACATATTTTTATACTTTCTCTTAAACATGGCTTTTACAGAAGCGAAAAGGAAATTTAAGCTTCTGGTCCCAGGATCAAGAAGCAGACTTAGACTTAAGTCAAAATGTGTCAATTGTCTTAATTGTTTACGATAGAAACCACAGGAAATTTGAAATGTTACATGTATTAAATATTTTGTTCCTTTCATGCTGTTAATCTTAATTTTCGAGAATCGGTTTCTCATAATTATTCATTTTATGACTGACTGAAATTCTTACTTAAGTCTTAGACTGCTTCATGATCCTGGGGCCTGGTATTATTAGAACTTGTCTTATCCCTGATTAAATTTGTTATCTGAATAATAATGGTTTGTATATTTCACGTATAAAAAAAAGTATGATGATTTCTACACAGGAAAAATTGCAACGTATGTTTAACATATGTTGAACATATGTTGAACATATGTTTGAAGCAACCATATGTTTAAAATATGTTCAACATATGTTAAACATATAGTTACCACAAACATATGTTCAACATATGTTTTGAGTCTGCTATGTGCTCAACATATATTTGAAACGTATGTTCAGCATATATTTTAAACATATGTTCAACATACTGTCGAAAATTCATATGGTCAACATATGTTTAACGTATGTTCAACATATATTACTTGAAACATATGTTGAACATACGTTGCAATTTTACCTGTGTAGTATTCATTATTCAGGGGCTTTCATTATTCCTCTTATAACACGGAGTTTTGTAGTAAAAGAAAACTTTATTGATATTTGCTAAATCCGTAACATTTTTTGAATTAAATATGGTTCCAAAAGGGCAGATGTTACTTTCAATGTCTTATATCTACCGCCTATCTTTGACATTGTATTTGTAGTATGAATATTTTATATAGGAAGAATTTAACTGTTTAATTATTTAGTTGGCAAGAAGAAGGTTCTGAGAATAATTTCATAAAGAAGTTTGGTTTCCAAATTCAACAAACCAAAGCCCTTCGTGACGAAATAAGGATGAGGGAATTTTATACAATTATGCTCAATGTAATAAATGGACATTTAGGTATGTTAAATATTAGGTATCGGTCAAAATTCGGTGATCTCCGTCTTTCGGAGAAAGCAAATGAAATAAAATGCAAAACACACACGATAAAAGAAAAAGAAGGCAGTTAATAGTAAAATTGTTTGTCCGAGTTGAATAATAGTTCAAACTATGGAATCATACCTTGGAAATTAAAGGTAGCACATCACAGCACTTTTTGATGACGTGCTACACAGAAATAAACCTTCAGTATTTCCTGTGATCTCGTGTGGTGACGAATTGACTACATTTTCGACTTTAATGTTCTGTCTCTTTAAGACTAAACCATCGATCACAGTGAAAACAAAAAGAGGATTTTGCATGAACCAAAAATGAGACTTAAAAGAAGCTACAGATAAAGGAGATGGGCACATCTTTTTTTTTTTTTTTTTTTTTTTTTTAGAGGAAAAAATATTTTTTTTCCAGTGAAATCATTGATAAACATTGAATGTTATGAAGTGTCGTAAAATTCTTTACATGTCATGTTTTTACATGAAAAAAATGTTATTCGATACTTAATTAAACAACAATTAAAACCTGATTCATGAAATGAATTTCTGTAGAATTTTCCACTTTATATCAGCCACCTATTGCCTTTATTAATTAAAGTAAAGGAACACTTCTGTATGTACATTTTAAAGAAAACCAAATGATTACCGTTCTAACGTAATTTGACTCAACAATAGAGAGCCTTTGTCTCTAGTGTCAGAAGGGGATGCCTAAAAACTGACAGAAAATCCCACTATACAGCCAGCTTTTCTTGGGGGAAGAACTACAATATACACGTTGTTAATTTTTCTGGTAGAAAAAAAAACTATAAAGTTTGAAGGGACTACTATGATGCAAGTTTTCAGAAAATGGAAAAGGAAAAAAGCTGTTATACAATACAGAAACTTTTGTTGTTCTTTAAGGTTGATTTTCTATATCGCAATTGAATGAGGATTCCATTTGAATATAAGGCATTTGTATCCACAAATAAGTTCAATGTATTTTTTTTCCCATTTATTCATTATATTGCAACACATTCATGAATCGCACCGGATTGCAAATACAAACAAGAAATTTATAACCAGAATTGAATCCGGATAAATATTCTTTATCATTATATATTATACAATTTAATTAATAAACATATTGAATGTATGATATGAATAAATTATGTGAGGCATTGTATTTAGATATAGATATTTAGATATTTAGCACCCTGCGTGGTGCTGTAGGGATTATTATTATATATTGTTATAGAGGGAACTTATTCAGGGCCCCATCCCTGATAGCTGCTCTATATATCATCTTTAATGTTATAGGTCTGGGAAATAAATGTGGAGGAAAAAAAAGAAACTCTCTTTATCTCCGATATCTTCAAATTAAATATTCCTTTAATTGACCAAAACACTATGTTTTTCTGTTATGTTATGTTATGATCAGTATGTACTGGTCCCAGCTGACAAAGCTGGTAACAACATAGTCTTTGTTTGTATGGCTCATTATTTGAATTGCAATTACAATGATTCTGACAGCTTTCTTTTATTTTAGAACACAAGATTTCTTAATATTGTTATTAAGAGATATAATTTAACTCCTGAGAATTTTATAAAATGTCAGGTCTCAAAATCAATTAATCAAAACCCCAAATTGTTTGGATTGGAAGTAAGAAATATTCTGAGGATACAGACTCTGTCCTGAATTGAAATTTCAATAGACAACAAACTTCAAACTATTAGGCATTTATTATGATGTTGACTTAGCAAAGATCACTAAACTGAATTATGACAAAAAGTTGGTTAAAATTAAGACCATCATTGAACAATGCAAAAAAAAAAAAAAAAAAAAAAAAAAAAAAAAGAAAGAAACTTAACTCCCATTGGAAGAATCAGATTGATTAAATCAATACTTTTATCACAGCTTAATCATTTATTCATTACTTTACCAAACCCACCTTCAGGTGTTGTGAAAGTCATAACAAATTGATTTTTAAATTTTTATGGAAATCAAATGTAGACAAAATAAAAAGAAAAGTTGTGACTCAGAAGTATGTACAGGGAGAATTAAAAATAGTTGACATTGTTTCTTATATAACAGCTTTAAAATCTTCATGGATAAGAGGAATAATTTACAACAATAACTCAAAGTGGAAAATTTTATTGGAAAAATAGTGTAGACATGGATAAACTTTTAAATGCAGGATCAGAGTATGTGTCACATTCACGAGAGAATGTGCAAAATAATTTTTGGAGAGATGTTCTGAAAAGTTTCCAGGAAATTCAAGAGAAAATAGAGATAAAAAATTGGCAGGAATATGTCTGCCAACCCTTATGGTATAACAATAATTTCATAATTGAAAAACAAACAATATTCTACAAGTCCTGGTATGTAAAGGGAATAAAATATGCATATGATCTTTAAGATGAGAATATTAACTTCTTACATGTATCATTAGGCAACATTCAACAAAATTATGATATTCAAACCAACCATTTAACTTATACAGGCATACGACAAGCAATACTGTCAGATTTAAAGAGGAATAGCTTTTGTAAAAATGAATTTATTCATAAATCAGAAATGCCATGCAATATCAAAGTCTTTGCGTTAACAAAAAAAAGGATCAAAGCCTATGTATGATATGCTAATTAAATCAGTATCTGTGGGTATAGGAAAATGGGCAAATTTTATCAATTTGACAGATACAAAGAAATTTATTATCTACCTTTTCTAACAACCCAAAACAGTAAATAACAATGACTTCAATATAAAATCAATCATTATTTATTTTATTGCATTCCCTGGCTGTATGTTTCATTGACTTATAAAGAATTTTGAAATCATTTAGAAAATCATGGATAGAGAGGCTAAGGTTTAGACAACGAACTCTGTAAATGTATTGCTTCATTGACATAAGCAAAATATTTAAAGATTTGGATGATTTTGTATTACTTATATCTCCAAATTTGAAAGTTTTACAATCTAAATTTAGAAAAATGCCTTTTTTTGACAGAATCTAACAAAACCATCTAGAAATTGCTGTACAGCTGGACATTGCCAAATTAAATGATATATTGTTTCTTTCTCCGCTCACAAAATGTACATAGATTAGAGTCTGCTTTACCTATTTTAAACATAAGACTATTGGTGGTCAATATATGAATTTAACACCTCCTGGCAAAAATGGCGATCCATACTCCATAGTAATATTAATAAACCCTGTCTTTAAATAGCTTTGCTTCCTCCTCTATTTATCTGTCACCCAGATTCTTTTTTAAATCACCTCTCTCTCTCTCTCTCACCCCCCCCCACACACAAATGAATACTACAATGACAAGATTGTGTTTATTTTATATGTTTATGATTGTATTATAACATTGTGTATTTCAAATAAAAAAATAATTAAAAAAAATGAACTCCTGAAAATAAATAGAAGCTTGCAAATATCAACAAAAATAAAATGATTTTATTTTGTAATGCTTTATCTGTCACTTGAAATAAAATCTCTGACGGATGACGTTATAACTTCAACAAGTAACTTGAGAATTGATCATGTTGTGTAACGAGAATTTGGCTGA